CTCCAATGCACGAGTCCCTTGCATAAGTCCTTTGCATACACCCCCCCCCCCAATGAACCTCGCCTCCCCCTCCAATCCAGGATTTCTACACACGTGTGCGTGCAGGGTCGGTCTGCATTGGAGGGGGGGACGCATTTCCCCTCCGACGCACAACACATACACAATGAAACTCATCTCCCCCTCCAACGCAGGATTTCCACACACACGTGTCCCCCCCCAATGCAGACCCACCCTACACACACTTCCCCTCCAACGCACAAGTCCCCTGCATATACACATACACAAATGAACCCTTCTCTCCCTCCAATGCAGGATTTCCACCCACACCCACGTGTCCCCCGCTCCAATGCACACACACGTAAGTATCCAGAACCCAACACCCTGCACACCCTCCCCACTCCGCAGCCCTTGCTTTCTCCTCCTCTAGCTCTGCCCAGTCATCAACACCTCTTCCAGCCTTTCCCCACCCCGAGTTGGATCCATGCTAGAAGTGCCATCCGATTAGTCTCCCCACCCTCCCCCGGGCAACAACCTACTACTGCTGCATCCCCCCCAAAAAATAAACAAACAAACCAAAAAAAAAAAAAGACACAACCCCACCGGAGCAGGGGATAAAACACACACGCGAAGCCGAGAGCAAGAGATGAGGGCGGCAGCAGCAGCGCCCCGTGCTCCTCCAATTCCTGCGGGCGATGCAGCGCGGAGTTTCTCGCGGCTTCACCAGGCTCGCAGGGACAGCTGGGGAGGGGAGAGGCCGGGGGGTGCTTTTCTCCAAGGGTGGAGCAGGGCCAGGAGGTGCAAAGACAACAACACAACACCCGCCCGCGGTCCGTACTCACTCTCTCCACTGGCCGGGCAGAGGCAGAGCGCGGCGCAGCCCAGCAGCAGCCCCCAGAGCAAGGCGAGGGACCCCGGTGCGGCGCCAGGCTTCATTCCTTTTCCTTTGCGACGGACAAAACCCCCCGTTCCCAGAAACAAAACAAAACAAAACAAACGGCAGGGGGAGGGGGAAAAACACTTAAAAAATAAATATTTTTAAAAAAAAAGCCCCAAAACCAGGGGGGGAGGGGAGGAAAGACAACCCTCCCCTCCAACCAGAAAAAAGAACCCTTCCCCAATAAATAAGCCAACACCCGGTGGATCAGGTCAGCGCGGCGGGCAGGGAGCCCCGGCGCCCGGCTGCGAGCGGGAGGCGGCGCGGGGCATCCTCAGCCTCCATTTTCACCCCGCTCCTCCTCCAAAAAAAAATAACAACAACAACAACAAAAATCAATCAAGGGTGGGCCCGCGAAAAAATGATTATTCAATAAAATTAAACACAAAAAAAAAGAGCCAGGCCCCGGAGGACGATGAATGGAGGGCTGCTACTGCTGCCCCCCCTCCTCCTCCTGCTCGTCCTCGCGGCCTGCCCGCGCACAAAGCGGCTCCGCGCGCACAAAATCACCCCCCTGAGGGGCGGAGGGCGCTGAAATGGCGGGAGGCCTCCGCCGTCCTCCTGCTGCTCCGGTAAACAACAGCCTCGGCCTCGCGCTGCTGCTGCTGCTGCTGCTGCTGCCGCCGCCGCACGGGGACCCGGCTGGCGGGCGCGCACGCACGCGCTGCCTCCCTCCCTCCGCCTCTGTCTCCGCCGCCTCCTCCTCCTCCCGCGGCTCCTCGCGGCGCCGGGCAAAAGGCGGCGGTTGGAAGCGCGGAGCGGAGCCGCCCCCGCGGTTGGGGGGGAGGGGCCTCGCTCACCCCCCGCGGGACGGGCCGGGCCTGGGCAGCGCCGCGGACACTGGCGGGGAGGTGAGGGGAGACCCTCGCTGCCCTCCTGCCGCTGAGGCAGCGCGGCTGCACGGCGGCGAGGGCCGCGATGGCAGGGGGCGTAGGTCCGGTGTCACCCAAGGGGGCTGAACACTTGAGATATCAGGGGCCATAGATCTTACTTCATCCAACTCATCCAAGGGGCCTGTGCAGGAAGACCCGAGGGCTAAGCACTGAGACGTCAGGGGCCATATATCCTATTTCATCCAACTCGTACAGGGGGGTGAAAAACCAAGGGCTGAACACAGGATATCTGGCCCCTGATATCTCGATTTCATCCAACTCCACCAAAGGGGCTGAAAAACAGGGGCTAAACACAGATATCATGGGGCATAAATACAATTTCATCCAACTCTTCCAAGCGGGGTGGGCAGGAAGACCCAAGGGCTAAGCACCGAGATATCAGGGACCATATACAGGTCTCCCTGGCTTTATGGTGTACACACGTCCCTGGAAAACGGCGCATAACTCAAATTCGCATAAAGGCAGCCCACTTTACCACGTAACAAATAAAGATACGTTCCAAGACCTTGACTGTACTGCCCCCCAGACCTGTTTCTCCCAGTTTTACGAGACAATTTTGGGACTCGCCAACAGCAGACAGTTCGCACAAGCACAGGGCGCTGTCATAACAGAGATGGAAACTACAAAAACACGTGTCGCAGACAATGATCGAGTTGCACAGATCCAAGCAGGAGGCTGTATTTTGGTGCGTCACTCCCACGATGCACCGCACCAAGCAGTTGACTACAGGCTTCCACCATGCCGATTGTGTAAGAGTGAATTTACCTCACATGTAACAAATTTTTGGTATAAGAAAGTAATCACATAACAGTAAATTTACACATGCAAAACCCGCATAAAGCGAGGGGAACCTATATCCTGTTTCATACAACTCTTACAAGCGGCTGGGCACTGAGATATCAGGGGCCATAAATCCTATTTTATCCAGGAATGCTTTCCACGCAGGGAAGGCAAAGCATTTAGAAGACATTTCTCTCTCCCCGAAGGTGGCCATCATAGAGGACAGTCCAGTTGTCCTCTATTGATATGAAACCCGATGCCTTTATGTCCTCTTTTTTTTATAGAGGACATAAAGGCATCGGGTTTCATATCGATAGAGGGCAGAGAAGCAGAAAATGGGAATGTCCTCTATGATGGCCACCCTACTGTCCCCCCAACACTGTTCCCCACTGTGAAACTAGCTCACAATCCACAACTGTTCTTATACTTTACCCTTTTAACAGATTTTGCTCATTGCATTTGCCTACCCTTGTAGCTAATAGGTCATACAACCCATTGTCCCAGTACTGGCACTAAAACTAAAACATATGAACATATGGCTTAATTAGGGTGGCCATCATAGAAGACATTCCGGTTTTCCACTACTCTGTCCTCTATTGATACAAAACCCAACCCCTTTATGCCCTCGATTTGAAGAGAAAAATAGAGGATTTAAAGGCATCCAGTTTTGTATCAATAGAGGACAACCAGACTGTCCCCTATGATGGCCACCCTAGGCTCAATACCAACAAAATATAACAAGCACCAACAACCTCATTGTTTCTCCTGACAGACTCTTACCATAACAATTGCCTGATCACTTCCAAATCATCCCTTCTCTTCAATTTTTGGTACATCTGATTAATGCACAAAACCCTTCATACTGAAACACTGTATATTTGCTATCTAAATTGCCTGGATAGTTATGTATGCACATCTGTATTCTCTACCAAGCATTTAGAAGATTTTGACGTTAAAAATATAAATGTGCGTCATACAGTAGTTACATTCATAAGGATTTTTACAACACAGCCTGAGTTATGGATCCAAAGACATAAGGATGTACCGCTGTGAATTAACGTTTGAAACATAAAGCATAGCTTGGGTATGTAAGGTAATGCTCAAAAAAAAGATTAAATGGAGGCACTGGTATAGTAATAGGTCCACAGTAGCATCAGACCAGACATCGTGTTAATGGTATTTTTGTTCTGGGCGTTTTAACTCACCTACTCCCAGCTTTCTCCCTTCTTTATTTAACATTAGGTGAAGAAAGGAAAACTGAGCCTCAATGTGCTCGTCACAAGGAAATTAAGGGAATTCTAAATTTAGGCTGCATTTTAAACTCACCTCTTGCATAAGGAGATCTCCCCTGACCTGCAGATATCTCATCTGACCATAGCTACATTCTCAGGTTTTCCCAATGAAATTGTGTTTTTTGGGGTGTTTTTTTCATTTTGGTTTTAATCATTAAATCCTGGCAAGGTGAAGCTGACTTGTTCCTCCACTCTTCCTTTTGATAGGCCTCGATCTCCCAGTGCTCAAGCATTTCTTTTGGAGAGGCAAGGATTTCTTAGGTTCATATCTTTTATTGGACTGACTGGCTGCGTCTACACAAGATGCTGACTGCGCTATCGTTACTGTGCAGTCATTTAATAGTTGCATACACAAGTACTAAGTGACTGTGCAGTAACCAGAGTGATGGGTTCCTGTGCCTAGCTTCCTATATTCAGAGACCTGAGGAAGAAAGTCTTACATTTAAAAGCTTGTCTTATCCCAACTACAGAGTTGGTCCAATAGAAGATATTACCCTAAGAAATTTACACACAGAGGCCAGTGGGTCTCAGCCAGGGTACCAAGAGATCCTGAGAAGGGTGATGCAGGGTGTCACACAGTGCTAGCACTGTGAGGGGTGCAAACACCATTCACAAGAGAAACACAAGAGATTTCAAATAAGGATCCATCATGTTAGACAGACACATGCTGACCTGTTGTGGGCTTTCTGAGCTCTGCTCAATGGAAGAATTGCTCTGATATTTTTTCTGATATTAAAAGAAAAATTAGTGAAAATTAAATGCTGATCTTTGGGGGGGGGGGGGG